ATAAATAGAATATGATTAATTATATTCATATTATTTAGTTTTGAATAAATAGATGTTTCATTTCTTATTTTTTAATTTCAAGCAAACTGAAATATGAAAGATTAGATCTATTCAAATTTTAATATAAATAAATATCAATTTATTTTCATTTTCATTAATGATCATTGAAAAAATGTCTATTTGAAATTCTTTATATTTCTAAAAATTTTAAAATTTGGATTACGTAATTTGATATAAATTTTCACATGAAAATGTGGAGATATTTATAATTTAGAAATATTATAACGATGGCATTCACCTGAATTCAAAATATCTTCTAAATCAACTCAAATTATGTATGTTATCATAGCTTAATCTAGAAATCTTATATTACTAATCTTAATTTAGGAAAAATTATAAAAAAATTATACGCGCTGATTAAAATTACTTCAAACCAAAGAATCATGCGGCATCCTCAGCTAATTGATCAATAAGTCAATTGTCAACTAATTATACTCTCCTAAGTTATCATAATGTTGAGTTATCAGTGTTAGTTAACTTTGGTACAATGCTCAATGGCAGAGTCCTTGGAGCTTTACATACCATCTAGCCGATTACAACTCTCGGCCCTAACAGCGCTAGTGGAAGCAATCAAGTGTACAGCTCTGGACTTAAGTGGAATGAAAAAACAATGCACATGATTATGTGCATTCCTTTTTAATCGTGTACAAAATAATTACAGAAGAAGTATCTAAGATGTAGAGAGTATTCATAAACTCTCCTTAAACAGACTCAGAAGAAACAAAGAAGGTGGCGTGAAGTTGACAATGTGCCTAATGATTCATGGCACGTTAATTCTTCCCGAAAAATTCTCCTCTGTCGAGTGTACAATCGAGTTCAAAGAGAAAGCCACTCTTGCCCTTGTCAACATGATTGACCATACTGACAAGGTCAAATATGAGTACTATAATGACTCTTAAAACTCAGGTCGAGTGAGCTCAAAGAAGGCGGATTGTGTTTTCAGCCATTTTAGCTCTAGCAAGGACTAGGAAGTAGTCAGCTTACACAGATAAGTATTTTGGAAACCTGGATTAATTATTTTGTGAGATAGGTCCTCAGCTATCAATATTACGAGGATAAGGTTTGCCCTTCAACTTTGTACTTTTATTGTGAGTCAAATTATAATGAAGGACCCATGCTACCGAGGCTCGGAAAAGTGCTCGATAATGTCCCACTTTTCCTCCAGTGACGTATACAGTGACGAACAATCAGTATGTTGCAAGCATTTAAAGGCTGAGCTGAGCTGGACAACAAGTAGGAACATATAGGCCTCCCCATGTCAAGGTGCAATATCTTCTTCCACAAAAAAGGTGTTATCACTACATTACGTTCCACTTAGTGGGCTATCACCGCTTTCAAGGCATGCATGAAAAGTTGTTAGGCATGTGCCTACTAGACTCAATCCTTATAACCGTGAGGTAGGACTCATCGGCCAAGATGAGGTCAAGCGCGCTGTATTCTTCCGCTTTCCTTCGCGCGTTTATTGCACTTCATTCATTCTCTACTTTTGCAGAAGGCAAATTACTTGACCCTAGTTGGAAAAATAATTATTCGTCAACTTGCGAGTAATCAACAAATACAATTTTACTTCGTAGATAGAACTTTAGTTACAGTTTAATGTGTTTCCCTCATAGAGGAATTCTTTTGTATACTTTTATCGAGGATTGATACATCATGACAGATAGATATTAGCTCTCGCTTTAACACCCGGTTCGCATTTTTTTATTCACAGGCTTGGCTATAGCTTGGCACCTCAATTGAGATGATTGAAATGTGGCTTTTATTCACATTATATTATTTTGTTATATAATATATCATTATTGATAAAGTAAAAAAATTTCTCAAACTGGTTTACTTTGATCAATTCTTAGATTCATTTATTTGTGCTTTTGACATAGTGCTTAAGACACTATGTAATAAGAACATTATTCTTAATTTATGATTCATAGAAAGTACACTATATACAACAATATATATAGAGGACTCTCTTGAATAAGAATTCTTATCTTATTTTATTTTTTGACAAAAGATAGAGTGAATGACTTGTAGAGACAAAGAGAAGATGAGAAGAATTTGAAGGATTACTCATAATCTTGCAACTTTTTATGATACAATTTGTAATCATCGATGTAGCATATATTTCTTGATTTAATCAACTTTTCATATTCCAAGTGCTTTTGGATCTCCATAATCAAAATACTCCAAACTGCATCAAGATTTATTATATTTATATTCAAAACTTAATACAGACTTTACTTTATCAACATCAAATATTTTCTAGCTGTAATAATACGTAATAGCTGTGTTTTTTTTCACATAGTGCATAAAATTCATAAATTCAAAGACTGTATTGTTGTACTTCACTCAAACTTAACCAATGAAGTTTGAAACTAATGTTTTATATATGATTTATTGTCTTGATCTTTTGTCAAAGACTCATCATCAATATCATTAGTAAAGTCATACGCATCTTGGAATTAAGTTGAATGAGCCTATTTGTCAAAAAATTCAAAATAGAAAATTGAACATTTAGACATACTCTTTGGTAATGAATATGCTTTATCATACTTTCTGTGTTTTTAAAAAGTTTGCTAATTCATCACACTCTAGTGATTCATCTATCTTAGCAATGTAATTATAATGCGAAGTACCGATTTTAATGCTTCATCGCCAAAACTTTACAAATATTATCATCCCCAACAATATTTGAAAAAAATTTCTTATGTTAGTGAAAGAGTATAAGCTTTTACTGCCAATAAAAATATGAATATAAATCTAAAATATGATTTAAAAGAAATTATTCTTTCAATCAATTGACATTTTTCACATCTTGAATTATAAAAAATGATTTATTTAAAAAAATCTATGATAAAAAATTATATTTTTATGTATGAAATGGAAATATATCAAATAAATAGTCACATACATGTATGTCACACAAGTTACAAGAATATAAAATTTCATAAATCAATGGAATCAGATTTGATACAGCTGGTGCAACTTTCTAATTTCGTTTAAATCATGTAATAAATTTGATGAATGTTATGATATAAATTCATCATTAAAAAAATGATGACTATAATTATAAATAATATCGGATATAAATTTTAATAAAAATCCAATAAAAAATTTATATTAAAATTAAAACTAATGAAAATTAAGTAATGATATGAAAAGAAAATCAATCAAATATGTACTTAAACTTTTTGAAATAGAATTTGAAAATATTTTCTAAATTATAATTAATGAGAAAATTAACATAGGTTAACATGATTTTCAATATTCATTAATTAAGTTTTATGATTTATTTGATCTTGCATACTAATAAAAAGTGTAAAAATATTCACTTTAAATTATTTCAAATCCTATGCAATATATATTTAAGAAATATTATGGTTTTTTAACACTTAAATCTTGTTGAATCATAATTCAATCAGATAAAAAATGATAGAGTGAATCTTTATATATCTTTTCAAGCGGGCAATATTTGAAGTAACAATATACACACACATACATATACAATGGTACTTTTAGGCAGATTCCCACACATTACTCGACCGTTCGCCATTTTGTTCAACGATTCTCACGGTTGATCGGATGCCGCAGGCTCAACTGATACAGGTTCCATATAAGTATAGCAAGACCTTGGGTTCTCCTGGTCTTACTTGGTGATCCTTTTGGTCACGTCATTTATTTCTTTGTTGCTTTAGCATTCAATCCCTTTAAAGCTTTGGATGTAGACTTTGAAATTTTTCAGAGAGTGATGAAAGATTGCCAAGATGATAAATAATATATTTTTTAGTATACTTTGAATCATATAATTGGTATTTTGTTCATTCTCTACAAGAAAATATTATATATATGAATAATCATCAAACATGTAATTTACATAACATAAGAGTGTTTGTTGTCTTTGAAACGTTCGACTTAAGAATAAAGTATTTTGCACTGTGATATCAGTTGAGCTAGTGCTTAATAACTCACTTTGTTTCTTCCTGCTCTCATCATTTTTGTCGAATACTTGGCCCCCTTTTTTTCCTTGTAAGCATCACACTACATTTCTATTTTCGTTCTGTGGATACTGTTTATTATACCAACGCATTCCATATAGCATATTTGCACCCTCTTTCAAAGAAGGTCAATAACTTTCCCGAAACTGTTATCTAAACAAGTTTACATGATGTTTTGTGGTTGAAACCATCCGCAGACTGTTAGAGTAAAAGTCCTCAAAACGTTCAGCAATCTAGAAATCTTTGCCTAATCGAGTCCATTTTGAGAGGTTTGAGGTTGCAACAACGGAAAATCAGATAAACTGTCACTCAGTGTTTAAATATCACTCAGTACCCTCAGCTTACTCTCAAATATGACGAACACATGTTAGCTACACAAAACAACATAAAGGAATGATATGTGGAGTAAGTTGTAACATGGGGACCAAATGTTGCTTACAGAAAGAGCCTTTTTGTGGTCGGAAGAGAGAAATCATGTTCATGTGGGGCCATTTGCATGTCAATGTTTCGATTTCAGTGATTGATACGCTAAAAATAAAGGCGGATCACCTTTGCCCGAGGTCCGTGCCATGCGAAGAAAGATGCTTTGGATGGGTTCAACTCTCGGCCCGGATTGCCGTGCCGGCCGAAGATTCTACCGATACTGACAATGCTGGCGCATCAGGAAGGGCCAAACAGCGCGAGAGCCCATTTGAATATTACAATCTCAGATCGCTATAAGGGACGACAAATTCTTCCAGATTGAAAATAATCTTTAATAATTCTCGCGACTGGGTGCTTGGCAAAGACCCATTCGCGAGCTTGTGAGAGGGTAGAGACGTCAATATACATCGAGTTCGTCGTTGGATCTGGACTCGGTTGCTGCCATGCTCTGCCCTGCTGGCTGCAGAAGGCTGCATTCAGATCTATCCAGCATGCGTCGAAAAATTCCCCTGGGGGGGGGGGGGGGGGGGGGCCCAGCGCCGCCGGAAGGGGTCTCTCGCTGCTTTCCCCCTGCGAGCAAAGCATCGGGAGGCATTCCGCCGCACGTCATGTGCTGTAAGTACGGAGGGAGGGCAGTGAGCGAGCGTATGGGTATGGGTAAAGTTCGTGGGCGAACGAGAAGGCCAGATGGAGCCAGCACCGCATCCGACTCGGATGAGTATGGATGGACGCAGACAAACCTGGCGGGCGAACTGATCTCCCATTGTGACAAGTGGTGGACACCGTGCGAACGAAGGAGAGAGCTTTTCAACCCAGTGCGTGTTTTTTCACTGTGTGTCTCGTGATCGACAACTATACGCCTTTGCGCATGCATCGATCGATCGATGAAGCCCCGTAGAAGCTTCGAGAATGAGTCTTCGAAACTTCCATACTTCGACGATCGAGTTTCTGCAAGGCGGGCACTGCTGTCGATTCTTATTCGAGAGCAGTGTGTGCTTCTTCACGAATCTGGATAGTAGATGTAGGAGGCGAGGGGAGGGAGGGAGGGCGTGGAAGCGTACAACACTGATCAACGACAGGACTCAGAGTCGCGAATGGAGGGCCGAGAGGTCCTTGAATTTCTGTCATGATCCGAGAATGTCGGAATTCATGGTGGAGCGAAGCCTCATCGAGCTTCACCGATGATGAGATCTGTTTATACAAAATAAGGCCTGTGCCAGTTGCTATGAATCCTCTTCAATTGAGGGGAGGGAGTTTTCATTTCTTGACGCTTATCTATAAAACCCTATACAATGGATTCTTCTTCTACTACTCTACTATTGATTCTATTCATAGTGCCACTACGGGTCGCAAGTGACGCCCAACCACTCGAAATAACCTGTTCCGTGGAATATCAGCAAGGCCGCCTGGACGACCCGACTCTAATTTGCTATCTCGTGAACAGAAAGGATTGTTAATGAGCTATGATCCTCCACTAGCTTCTGGCATCAGTCAGACACTCAGCTCCATCGCATTCATCTCATCACACCTCCATATTCGACGCATCCGGACCGAACGAACCCCACCGACAGCACCGAGCGAATTGACCACTCGCTCGAACGAATGATCGAAAAAATGATATAATGATCTAACTTCCGAAGCTAATAGACCTTGACGAATTCCTCAAATTTGGCCATTTGCTCTGGCTCCAGCGCGATGATCAAGTTGCAGCCACCATCTTGCGTGCCGTTCGAGAGCAAGAGCAGGAACTCGATCAATGGAGTCACGATGGGGCCCGCGTAGATGGGCTTGCCCCAGCCGTAGTCAATTTCGTAAAACGGCATCTTCCACCACGCTGACAGGAAGAATCCTCCCGCAAGGGCTGGCACTCCCTTGTAGATCTGTCCCCAATCGATAGAAGATCGAATATATTCATCGGTGACTCGAGCGATGGCTTCCTGAATTCTCTGGACTGCCTCGACGAAGCTCATATCTCTGACAACTTGCGGTACGTCGCGAGCAGAGGCGGCGAACACTGCATTTCCGGCATAGTGCTTGGGCAGCGGAGGGATCGTTCTCTTGCGGATGTCGACGGCGAACAAGAGGTTGGTGGGCTTATCCTCGGGCAGCTCGATAGCCTTCGTCCTCGATTGCCAGATATGAGCGGCGAGGACCTCGAATGTCGACACTCTTTTGATCACGTCCCCTTCCAGAGCCTTCTTCTTCAGAATCTCGATCATCTCTGGGGTGAAGGGGAACACTTTCGTCACATGCTTGATCGGAGCTTCCAAGGAAACGACCTCGGCCGATGCCGACTCTGCGGTCGAGAACGGATTGCTCTGTTCGAGATCGGACATCTTGATGAGTTCTGGGTGATCGAATGTCACTCTGGGAGGATCCCTCGCCTTGAGGGGAGTCCTGTCCAAGCTGGGCAGACAGACGAGCCCCTCTCCTCGGGCCAGAGCGGCGTAGTTCATGAAGAACTCGATTGCTGCAGGTCCATCAAACAAGGTGTGGCTCATCATCACACCGACGGTGTAGCCTCCACATTTGAATGTCGTGACCTGAATAGCGAGGAGGGGGAGGTCGAAGACGACGGTCGCATCGAATTTCGTCGGGACCAGAGCTCGGAATGCTGCGTTCGGAAGAGTGACATCGCCCAATTCCTCGAGAGATACTCCGCTCGTGTAGTGAGTGAACTGCGCCCCCTTCCTATTACAGTCGATCTCCAACCTCTGCTCTTGTTCGTTCATCGACAGGCGGCCGGCCATGAGGTGGTATGTCACCAACAGCTTCGCCAGAGAATCCCTCAGAGTTTCCACGAGCTTGTCTGCAGGCTTGGCAGGATTGGCGGGGTAGAAGTAGACTGTTTCCACGGGAATGACCAGAACCTGATCGGTGTTCGAGAGGAAGAGCGCAGTGGCCGGAGTAGGACCGGCAGGCAGGATTGTCTCGGGCTCTCCTACCATCTCCAACTTCAGATCCTGCTCGCAATCCTTGGCCATCGCTGCTTCTCCGACCATTCCAAATGCGCTACACTTCGAGGTGCGGGCTGAGCTCTCGTGGCAGTTCGTCTCGCATCAACACTCGAGAAGGACTGCCCCCTGGATCCTCGTCAAGTGCTGCGAGCTCGATGTGCCTGCCACACTCTCAACGACGGCTGCAGAGCAAAGAACTCGATTGTGTGACAATCGGTGCCGGAGAAGGACTCCTCTATACCTCCAGGAATCGGGACCGACGACATGTAACTGCCAGCCCATGAAAGGGATAAAAGAAAAATAACTTCTGGCCCGAATTTTCACTCGCGACCACGCCCGAAGAAGAACCATCGTGGTCTTGACGGGTCTCCACACAGTCGCTACGACTCAAGCAAACACTCATTGACCATGTGCACCTACAATATAATACTAGTCTTAAAAAAAAAAGGCTAGTCACGACTTCCCCGGCTCCATGATTACCGGCTCACATCGCTCTAAATCGCCATCCCCTCTTCGAGCTCCTCCTTTCTCCCAGCGCACAACATGCAGGGAGCAGTCCCCCCCCCCTAGGGACCCCACTCGCCCTCAATCGTTGTGCTCTTTCCACGACCCCGCTCTTGGACTCGCTCCCGCACTTCAGTCCAAGGCATCCGGCTCGGCTGTCTCTTTCTAAAGCTGGCCTTGTTCGACCTTGTTCCTTCCATCCGCAGCGTGGCCATGTCGAGCGAATTGCATACGGGATGCGTGTCACTTCCGAGGCACCTGCCAGGACGAGCTAGCAGCATCTGCGCCAGGTCTAGCGGTAGTTATACTGTGGAAACGCACTAACTATTTTGTCGCTTCATACTCTACTGGATGGAACTCGAGATCCGTCTGTCTCCTGGCAATTTTACTTACGGAGAGAGCTTGAGCTGAAGAATCGTCTGAGTCGGATTCATTCGGATGCTGCTGCGTCACCTTTTTCGGGTTTTATCTGAGGATAGTTTCTACATGCAAGGGGTAAGAAAACGTCGACAGATTAATTTGTTAAATTATACTCGACGCAGCTGGCTTCCATATCGTTATCTCCAAGACAAACGAAGACTTCTTCAAAATATGCCTCGCATGAAGTTTTTCGAGGTGTGTGTGAGCAGACCAGACCGCTCAGCGCCAGCGCTTCTGGTGGGAACGATTCAACGAAGCTGGATGATGAGATCAATGGAATTGTTGCGGACTGGTTTCCATTCTTTGGGAAAGCCATGTCAGACTTGGAATTGTGAGGAACGTGCATCTAAGCTACGAATCGTCGCTACATTCTCATCATCATTCTTATCCTAATCCGAAACTACTTCCGATTAAGTTGCAACTATGTCTAATACTTTGTTCTCGAACGGTGTCTCGTACAGCAACGAACTTCTGTTTCAGATTCGACCATTCAATTTGGTCGAACAGTGGAAGCAAACGATTGCTTGATAACTTCATCGGTTACATTCAACTCTGGGCATGGAGTCTCGGGAGTATCAAGGGGCCGACTGACCCACCTTCGATCAGATTGGGAGACAGGAAAACGTCAAACCTGCCGTAGATTAGTGCACGATGTGCAACTTGGCCTCATATTACTACCCACCATTCATGTTCATGCGGAAAATCCTCACGCATAAGCAAGCACGGTGCCCCAGGTACGACGCTGCTGTAGGCGAGGATCTACTCTACACCGTACTCAGAAAGCGATAAGAACTGCGCTTGAATCCCATATCCCTTCCAAGTCAGCGCACCGTTGTCTTCGAGAGTGGATATGTGTGCGTTAAAGCTTGAATGGTCGTTTATCCACCGAAAGCCTTCAATCCTCTCGATGAGCTAGCTGGTCACCGAGACTCGTGGAGGGTGACACTCCATTGCTACAACATGGATCCGTTGACTACTTTTCCCCCAGATCCAGAGTCCGGGGACCGGGATGCATCACTTCGCCTCGACATGAAGCTTGTCTGTCGGCCTTAACTCCCTAGATTCCAAGTTCGTGCCAGTGCTGCATTCACGAGCTGACAGTCAACCGGGCCACTTTGCGACCGCGTTTTCGATTCTGGTCCTAGTAATAGCAATCCCTTGTTGGCTGATTTCGCCGGACCGATCGTGTAGACCGTCCGTGTGCTCAATTGTCGCACTAGCACTCTTGTCATGAATCGGATTGTTTCAGGACAGAGTGCATACTCACGAACAATCCAAAAGGCCGCGATAAGCCTATCCCGTCCATGATTACAGTGCAAAGCACTTCGCCAAGGTTTTGACCTTTACGGCAGAGTATGTATCCACGTGTGTAATTATGGTACGTGGTAGGTCGCAAAATACTGAAATGTACGATACGAATATCGTATGAGAATACGGGCGACTTCTGTACTTGTGCATGCTAATGTATCATGAGTTGATACTGTTTGGTGTAAGTTCGATTTTGGAATCGAGTGTATTGACCGGTGTGCTTAATTTAGGAAGCAAGAGCGACGAGTTGGTCCGGGAACGACCTCCTTCTGTTTCGGGAAGATTCGAAATCTGGGTGCCGAGAAAAGCTTGTGCAGTTATGAAACGAAAGTGTAGTCCATGACTTAATTGTGCTACGATTGTCGGGGCCGATTTCTCAATATGGTTCTCCAGAAAGTTTAGTTTTGCCTTTCCAGTGATTATGGTCTTGCTGTATACAAAGTAAATACAAGTGAAGTGGTTAGAAAAAAATGATGGTAATTTTACATGAAATATAACGATCCACAAAGACATATTATATGAAGATTCATTATTTAAATTGAAATTGAAATTCTATATATACAGTAAGTACATATATATATAGCAATGGAATCAAATTATCTTAAATATGTTAAAATTGTATGTTTTATAAAATGTTAATTTGTGTTTCACATAATGATATACATGTTATCATAGTCCTATCATATACTTCTTTTATGACACTAGGTTCCATTGTAGAATTTTACTTACATGATATGACGTATATATCTAACAAAACACATATAGAGCTAATGTTTCCAATTAATTTATCTATCAACATATTCTAGTTTTATTGAATCAATACACAAATGGAATATGTATCATTGTTGACTAATACATTTTCTCACAAAACCCACCATTAATATAAATTAAACATCTTTTATTATGATTCAATTTTTTTTCCTATAGAAAAGTCTCTATTTCAAATCTAATTGACTTAAATAGTATAGAAAATGAATGAAATTTAAACAAAAATAAATTTTCAGAATAAAGTAAAAAATTTTATTACTTGAAAGTATTAATTCAATAGACCAATTTCTTTAAACTCCAATTTTTTACATATCATTAGAGGATAAAAATGATGATGGATCTGAATTGAAGTGTTGAAAAGTGCAGTATGTGACATGCTCAAACCCAAAATGGTCAAAATTAAAACAATATAAACGTATGTATGTATGTATATATACATATACATATATATATATAGTGAAGTTTTAAATTGGAGTGATAAAAACAATAGATATAATCATGATGTCCAAACAAATTAATTGTTATCATCTAAAAAAATTATCAAAATGATAAACTGACTAAAAAAAATATTGAATTCCAGCATTATGATTCACAAAATGATTAGAATATAATGTAAGAGTTTTGTGATGTTCTCTATTATATTTTCACATCAACTTCGCTCCAATTAGATGAGATTTTAGCTCTATATCACATATATCAATCACATATCACAAAGCTGATCCAAACCTAAACAGTTTATCACATGAAATTTTATCTCTAAATCACATTTCTTATTAAATAAACTATAGACCTTTCAAAATTTATCATCTTGTTAATATCTCAAAGCTGATTTAAACTTAATCATTTTATCAGTGTCACTAAGTTCAAGTCATTTTATACCTATGTTACATATTTTATATCAAGAGACTAGGCTTCGATATTTGCTATCATCATCTCTTAAGAGTTGTGTGGCAAGGAAATAATACCACACATTTGTTCAGATGCATAAATATGAGATTTAAATAATATAGAAACTAAATAAATGATCTTCATGCACAGTCTTTTGTATGAAAGATTGATTATTGTCATCAAATTCATGGACTATATGTACGTGTAAAACCCAAGATAGACAAAGCAACATAGGAAATAACGCGGTTCATCTTCAAGAAGGAGGCTATATCCATCCATAACTCTCATAATTTTATTGCAAGTCTTGTCATAATGACTCAATGTACATGATGAACCCCGAAGTATTTATCCCCAATCTGAACGATCGTCCTAGCTATAAATAGCTAAAATCCATGGTTATTACCTGATTGGAGTTAACCTCAATAGTCTACCCCTTAACTCACGTTAAAATATAGTAATCTCTATCACATACATTATTACTCCGTGAAAAATTGTAGACAGGTTCATAACATAAAGAGTTAACTAAAAAACAGCTAGCATAGAGAAAATAAAAATCGTGTCACCTATATAATTACTCTGCGGTAAGTTCTAGAAAGAAACCTAATACAAGGCTTCTCTTTACACGAGAATTAACTAGAACTAAGCCGTAGTCATCACAAGATAAAGTATATATATAAAGAGATAACTTAAGATACTAGTTTAACAAACTCTAACTCTACTCCTCATGCACAACCTGCATGATAGCACAGTGTCGATTGAAACTCTCCAAAGTAATAATTTTGGTCAATGTATCAACTTGATTGAATTTACCGTCAAGATTGACTAGCTCAATCATAAGCTTATGAACTCAACCAATACTAGTGTCATGTCTTGATCATTAATCACATAATGATCAAAACTCTCCCACAATCATATCCGTGATCAGAGATTTTTCCCTTGTCAGTACGGAGATGATAAGAGCTTTCCCCCTCTTTTAATGATATAGATCAATGAAAAACATATATAACTGACAAGAACCATATAAGTTCTTGGTGTATAACACTACTTTTGCCAAAGCACTTGTCTGCACACCATGTGTCACTCAAATTTGCGACCATGATTGTCTGTGATTCGCGACTTACTATTATTCGTGACTGTACCTCATTCTCATTCGCGAAGAATTGCGCCCGCGATTGATCCTAACAGTCATCCGCAGTTAAGCGTTACCGTACTAGCGATTCACTATCATCCATGACAGTCCCTCATAGTCGTCAGCGACTAAATGCGCATGTGACTGTCCGTTACGATCGCCTTCAACTTACTACACCCGCGACTCACTCTCATCCATGATAGTCCCTACAGTAGCCCACAACTAAATTTGCATGTGACTGGCCCTCATCGTCGCCCGTGTCTGATTGTGCGCGCGACATAACTGGCATCAATGATTGGCCCTC